GTGATATGCCAAAGACTGAAACAAGACATTTACCTCAAGTTTTATACAGAAACCAAGTCAGCATGGATTAAAGTCCTAAATGAGAATCCCAGAATTACAAAGGCCGTTGATGAAAAAAATAAGGAAAAATGTGAGAGCTCTAATACAGGGCATACACCGACTACCAAACATTTTGAAACTTACACAAACAAAAGCAGACAAAATAGATCAATGGGACATACTAAAAATTAAAAACTTGTGTGCATCAAAAGACTTCATTAAAAGAGTAAAAAGGGAGCTCACAGAATGGGAAATTTTTTTTTGCAATGACACATCAGACAAGTGACTAATTTCCAAAATATATAGGAACCTACAACACCTCTACAAGAAAAGGACAAATAGCCCAATTAAAAAAAGGGCACAGGACATGAATAGACACTTCATCAAGGAGGCGATCCGGTCAGCTAACAAACATATGAGGAAATCTTCATGATCACAAGCCATTAGAGAGATGCAAATCAAAACAATAATGAGATATCATCTCACAGCAGCAATAATAGCAAAGATCAAAAAAGTAGAGGACAATAAGTGTTGGCGAGGATGTGGAGAGACTGGGACTCTCCTACATTTCTGGTGGGATTGCAAAATGGTCCAACCACTTTGGAAAACAATATGGCGCTTCCTCAGAAGGTTGGAAATACAGATACCTTATGATCCAGCAATTCCTCTACTTGGTATTTATCCATAAGAAATACGAGTCATAACACAAGTAGATATATGCACACCAATGTCCATAGCAGCACAATTTACAATAGCAAAAAGATTGAGACAGCCTAAGTGCCCATCTATGGAAGAATGAATTAACAAACTTTGGTATACACACAATGGAATACGATGCTACCCTGAAGAATAACAAGGAAGTAGCAAGCCACTGCAAAGAGAAACCTTGTAAGTCCATCTTCAGCCTATAACTGTTTGGAATAACTAAAGTGGTACTAGAACTTGCCCAGTGAAGGAAGCTCCCTGTAGAGCCTTTGCATTGCACAAAACCATAGGTGGAATCCTGATCCTCATCCAGAATCTTCTGATGTGGGACATTCCCACATGAAAGGACAAGCAGACCAGTCTGGAACAGCTAGAAAAACAGAAGATACTTCTTGAAAGAAAGACCAGCAGAAAAAATAAAAAACAATAACAGCAGTCCAATTGACTACTCCAAGAACAAGCAAGTTGTTCCCCAGGGAGCCATCAAGGCAAGTGGTCAGGTCCCCTCAAGCCAAACCCCCTTCCAAGGTTGAAACTCAAATGGAATACACTAGCAGGCATGTGGTCCTATTGCTGCCCAAGTTGGTCACCGATAAAGGAAGTGGGGGAAAAACAGCAATGAAGTTGTGAACTAAGTCTAACCACATTCAACAGACTCCTGTTAACCTGGATTGAGATCTGGTTAACCAGCAGTATGACGAGACCTGGGGACTCCTGGGCTCAGGGTCAGGGACATGGCCCCAGAGGACTAGAACAGAGTGTGAAGCATCCAGCTGATATAAAGTGAGGTGGATGCACAAGAACACCCACACTTGCAGATAGCACCCATTTGACCTGGTATCAACTGTCTTAATGACACACCCAAGTACCCAGCATGAGTAATTATTTATATTGCTTTTATTCATGTTATTACCAGTACTTGTACCACACTTACTCTATTAAACTACCAATCAATCAATAGCTGATTATTTGAGGTGCGCAGGGCATGGTATAATGAGACCAAGGTCAAGAGATAAATTTTTAGATAACTTTTCCCCATTAGTTCACAACCATAGGCTGAGACTTATTTTGCTATCTTACAAATGCAAGCTCTTGTGGAGGAAGAAACAAAATTTTAAAAAGGGAAGAATTTCGAGCGTCTGATAAAACAAGATTATCTTGGCATAAACGATACCACCTGTGATGTCACATTGACCACTTCATTACTAATGACATTGTGGTGAATTTCTTATGTGGAGCGACCTTGTTTTATCACATTGTAAAATTTTTTTCAGATAAAACTGCTGATGCTGAAATGATCTTCAAGTATCCAGAGTAATCTTAAGTATTTCTTTTGTAATCATTTGCCTTTTAATTTCTTGGTGCTGCACGAAGACTCAACTTTCAGGCATTTTTACTGTGGTTATTTACTTACAACTCCGACATTTTCTGTCATTTCTCACACCCTCAATATTCTGCTCCAGGTTTCCTAGTGTCCTTGATACTCCTCAAGGGCATTCCCCAAGTAAAGTAAGACCCTCTGTCTTGTGCTTACTGTTGTCATTTTCTCTTGCTAGAAAACTCTTATCCCAGGCTCACTTTCTCATCTCTTTTAATTATGTTATCAAGGTAGCCTTCCTTTTAAAATTGACACCTCTTTTCCCAGCCTTCCCCACTTCATTTCCTTGCTTTATTATTGTGAGTTGTTACTAAGTGCTGTAGAGTTGGTACCAACTCATAGTGATCCTGTATAGATTTCTGGGGCTGTATATCTTTGCTGGAGCAGAAAGCCTCATCTACCTCCATTGGAACAGTGGATGGGCTCAGGCTGCTGACCCTATGGTTCACAGTTGTGTGTTTATCCTACAGAGCTACAGAGCTCCACATTATTGTGAATTTTTGTTAAGTGCTGTGGTGTTGGATCTGACTCATAGTGACCCTGTATACGGTTTCTGAGGAGCAGCTCGTGTGTTTGAACTGCCAACTTTGTGGTTAGCAGTCCTGTGCTTGCAGCACCACACCAAGACTCCATTATTGTGCAGGTTGTTGTTGTTAACTACCCTTGGTTCTGACTCATAGCAACCCTTATAGGGCTTCCAAGGAATGGGAGGTGGGTTTGAACCACCAACCTTGAGTTTAGCAGTCCAGTACTTATCCTACAGTATCACACCAGAAGTTCTTGCAATATATTATGCAAGTTATTGGTTTGTTTGTTTTCTTTCTTTCCCCATGGCTTAAAAACTCTATGAAGGCAGGGATTTTAGTTTTTCTTCTTTTTTATAAACTCACAGATGATGTGTTTATTTTATCAAACAGTTGCCCCATTACTCTGTTTTCTCTATATTCAACAGATTTAAGAAATGTATCTAAGAAGGCATAGACTAAAATCAGGAATTATGTGTGATATTGAAAAGACTATAAATGAATGTGGAATATGCCAAAGACAAAGATGTTTGTTCATGAGTAAGGCTAACTTTATAGGCCCTTTTCAGGAGAACTTCTTGGCTGTGGGAGATATTTAATCTGATTATCAAATCAGAGGACTGCTACAGCTCTGTACACATTATTTGTAACACAAGCATTTTCAAACATTTGTTTCTTTCTGATCTTCACTTGATCTTTACTTGACTTTAGATTAAGAAAGGAGATGATATATCTGAATTGTCACATACATGCCTCATCTTTCACAAGCAAGAAGTCTGGATGAGATTGGTGTGAATGTCTGAGTGTGATTTGAGGAAGCCTGCTGAATAAAATAGGGCAGAAGAGCTTCTCAGGTTTCTCCTCAGTTAACACATACTCTCATATTCAGCAATAAAGTTAGCCTTGCATGCTATTAATATAAGATATATAAAAATTATGTGACATCCCTATCAAGAACAAATTGAGAACTCAAAAGAATATTCTGGCTATTGCTCTGCTATGTGGTGTTGTAGGTAAGCACTGGACTACAAGATTGGTTTGAATTCCAAGGTTTGATAAGCAAATCTTTTTGTATATTATATGGTGGTGCTGGTGGTTGTGTGCCATGGAGCCTGTCACAACTGAGTTCCCTCAGCATGAGAAATGTTGAGCGTCTTCTTCGCTTTTGATTTTCTAACTCCAGGTCTTTGCACATTTTCTTATAATGGTTGAAATCTTCTCTTCAGCTCATTTACTTCCTCATTTCTTAAATTTGCTTTAGCATCTCTACTCTGTAGAGGATATTTCTGATCTCTTCTGACATCCAATTTTTGCCTTCTTTCTTGTCTTCTCAGTGACTTTTGCTTTCTTCCTGTCTGATGTTCTTGATATCATTCCACAACTCTTCTGATGTTCCATCATTATTGTCCAGTACATCAAATCTTTTCTTGAGAGGTTCTCAAAATCTAGGTGGGATATGTTCAAGGTAAAATTTTAGTGCTATTAGACTTGTTCCAATTTTCTTCAGCTTCAGTCTGAACTTTCATATGAGCAACTGATGGTCTGTTGTCCTATAGGCTGCCCCTGGTGTGGTTTGGGCTGATGATAAGGAACTTTTCTACCAAGTATAGGACACAGAAATGGAGCTCTGGTAGCGTAGTTGTTACGAATCGGGCTGCGAACCTTAAGGTCAGCGGTTCGAAACT